TGAACACTTTTGAGAGAAACCAGAGATTTCCTGTATAGTTTCAATTCACATGGCTTCTCCTCACATTCTTCATGCTTGTAGCATTCGGGTCCATACTGAGATGTGATCTGCCTATGAAGGAATGAAGGGCATATGAAGTCTTTGGCACACATAATGCAGTCACATGAATTTACTCTATTAAAATTTTTCTTTCCTTAAGAGTTGGTATCTAATGAGCAGCACATTATTAATACTTGATTAATTCATGATGTAGTATTTATTTAAGGTCTTAGGTTAACGTTACTTCCAACATGAGGTAAAGCCTAGGTTTTTCAAACTTGTACTAATTGCCAGAAAATAAAGAGATTGAGAGGAAATAATGCTTTGCAACACAACTTGCCTATGGTCATTATCCAAATAGTTGGGCTGGGGATGTGGCTCAAGCGGTAGAGTGCTCGCCTGGCATGCATGCGGCCCAATTGATCCTCAGCACCACATACAAAACAAAGATGTTGGGTCCGCCGAAAACAAAACAAAAAAAATATTAAAATTCTCTCACAAATAGTTATACTCACATATGCAATTTCATTATACTTTTTGCATGTCAAGAACTTTGAATAGACTTAATATCTTAATATATTTTATAAATATATATAAATTTATTTCAGTGGACAATAGACTTTATTGATTTAAATGTGGTGTTGAGAAGAAAACCCAGTGTCTCAAGCATCCAAGGCAAGCTCTCTACCACGGAGCCACAACCCCAGTCCCAGTGAAGTATATATTTCTGGTAAAAAATCTTATAAGAATATATACTTTTAAAGTTGTGCAAATTTCTTGCATTGGTTTTAAAAATTATATGACATCCCCAGATTTCCTCAAGTATTCCTCTTGTGAGTACAATTACCTTAGACTGCTCCCAGAATTTTTTATCTGATTTTCAATGTTCTTCTCATCACATTGGTTTCCTAAAAGGTCAAACAAAAACGTTATAAATTTCTAGGAACTATAAATGCATTTCCAAATCCATGGTGCATTTTATGCTACATTAATTCACCAACTGATTGTCTTTTCATGTTCTACATAAATAAAAAAAAATAAACACAAATTCTCTAATTAAGTAAATACACAAATTATTACCTATAGATGACAGGTTTCTGAGGACTTCCAGCATCACATCTCTGTAAAG